CGCCGATTAACGACCAGACGTTTCGTGGACACCCATAGATCCCGGGACCGCAGTCAAGGGTTGTTGTTGTTTGTCGTAATTAAATATTGATCTCTTACAAGACTTGAATCCGTATTGTCACCACATTCAAGCCGAGTTCCTTTCCAATTACACCACCAAATATGTTGTCTGCCAATTTTTAATTGACTTCAAAATAAGATTGTGTTCCACAAAATAAAAACCCACTTCAACTGTGGGGAAAACCGGTTATTTTTATTTAAAAACTAAACAAAACATGTACATTTACCAGAGGGAGACTTTGTACAAAAGTCGTTTGCTTGGGTACCTCTGTCCCATTCGTGTTTCTACCGTGAAGCAGTTGTGTTTGCATGGCTGTGTTTCGGTTTGAAGGGTGGGACATGGCGTGAATTTACTGGGTACAGAGGAATAACACCTGAGTCCTCAGGAATGGCAACGCATGGGGGGTTATCATGGGCGAAACAGTATACTCTGTTATGTCCATGGTACTGCTCATGTCTATAGGCGACGGTTACGACTTTCCATCAGGTGGGCCGTCAGCTTGTTTGTCATTCTAAGTTGTATAAAAAAAAATGTTTTCATATAAGAAAAGAATTTTTCAATTCAGTCTACAAATGACGGAGTTATGAGGTAACAAAAAGAGGAAAAGAAAATACAGCGCAATTGGAAACTTTCTTAGGTTTTTATTATTTATTTATTGGAAAACCAACAGCTTACAATTTATAGATTAAAACAACCACAACTTATCCATATAAAAAGCCAATAACAGGTTTTCACTGACTTGGCAATAAAAATTTGTCGTGACTGAGTAATTATAAAATTAAGAAGGAAATAAAAATTTGTTCAATAGTTTAATATTAACCCTGAAGCAACCTAAGTATGCCCTTTTTGAAGAATCTCATGCTTCAGTCTCTAAGGAAACCCACGATATTACAAAACTAGATATTACAATCGCAAATGTGAAAACGATTCATGGCTTAACATAGATATAAATTTGATTATGTATTGATTGCCATTCAGCTGTACGTTTTCCAAAAAAATTAATAAATAAATAAATTACGAGGGAAAATTTTAAATAATATGTACAATATATTATTTTAAATCGTTCATAAAAGTACACTTAAGTCGAACTGGACTCAATAATCTGAGAAATGCACTTAGGTCAGCCAACAGTGAAATAAAGCGTGCCGTATTGCAGCGGGCATTGAACCCAGGACCCGGCGGTCGCACGTTTTAACACTTAAACACTTTTTTGCTGCTATATTCTTGACGTTTAATTTAGGGCAGAGGGAGAAGGAGGATGAATGTTAGTAATGGGGACTAGCGGCCCCGTTGCTAACAATCACCTGTCGGGGAGAAGGTATTGTATATAGTGATAAAGATTAGTAATCCCATTGCTAGCAATATACCCTATCAGGTCGACCACCTCGTGGTTCCCCCTGGAAACCATCGTGATTGATTGATTCGTCACGGTGGACTAACTGACCTGCTTCTACCTCACCTATCATCCTTCACTGGTGCCCCGCCGGTGTATACCGATAGCACGGGTGGGGTTACCATCCCATTATCATCCATTAAAAAAAATAACCACTTGCCCGTTGCTTTGTTTCCTGTTGCTTAAATATCAAACTACTCATTAATACGCTATGTACCCCCTACTACAGGTACCCCATCACCCGTATTCAACAGCAAGGACGGAACGTCTTAAATAATGTATCGAAACCAGAGGGAGACTTTGTACAAAAGTCAATTGCTTGGGTACCTCTGTCCCATTCGTGTTTTAACCGTGAAGCAGTGTGTTTGCATGGCTGTGTTTCGGTTTGAATCACTTTCCATCAGGTGGGCCGTCAGCTTGTTTGTCAATCTAAGTTGTATAAAAAAAATCTAATTTGTTTCGTTCCGGCTCGAAATTTCGAAAAGCATTTCATGGTAGACCCTCTGACAAATACTAATGTCCTTCCATCAAATTTAACATTAATAAATGAAATTAATTCCCCCCTGAGCTGTCCATTAATTAGCTTGAAGTCAATATAATTAAGAAAACCAATTACTTACGTGCCTTAAAGATTACTCACTATAGACATTGGCATTATGTTATTTACATGGATAAATTAATCTGATATTAAGACATTATTAAATACTGGGTCATATTTTTAATAGACTTAGGAAAATTTACAAAATCAATTTCTATTTCAATAAAAATTAATGAAAAGCAATCAAGTCATATGGAAATCATAAGTAAATTAAATTTAGCTATTGACCGTTTCATCCTTCTTTTACCATAAATTCCTAATTTCCGTGTCCGCATGAGCTCGGCCACCACTTCCTTTCCCATAAGTATTTTAAAAGACGACTAAGGAAGTGCAAGGGACGGCAGCAACGTCCCTCTTAAAACATCTCTAAAACTTAAATGTGGTTGCAAAATCACCTGCCAAGCATGGCAACTACTCACAAAACCCCCCCAAGGGGGAGGTTTCTGTTCCGCAAGGGACAATTAAGTGCTGATATGATGATGATGATGATGATGATGATGACTGAACTCATAAATTCAACCTGGTTGAAAGTAATAACTGTAGCATATAAACATATGTATTACTGATGTCAAAAATACATTGTAAATGCCCACAGTACCAGTACCACACATATAACGCCCTTCCCAAGGACAGATGTTATTCTTCCATACTCCATAGTTTTACAAGTATATCCTACCCATTGAAGCCACACACAGCAGCTTAGTGGTAATAATATATGTGGGACAGAATTACCCATAGGGATGACTTTTGTATTTTTTTTTATGGATGAAAATGGAATGTTAAACCCGCCTGCACTAACGGGATACGCTGGCGGAGCACCAGTGAAGGGTGATAGATGAGAATGAAAACAGGCTAGTTAGTCCATCATGATAAATTCATCAGGAAATAACCATGATAGTTTCCAGGGAGAACCGTGAGGAGGTCGACCTGGTTGGGTATATTGCTAGCAATGGGATTCTCAGTCTCCATTACTAACAATCCCTTTCCCCCTGACTTTTGTACTAGTTTCCCTCTGGTAAAACTTAGGAATTGTGTAGTTTACTATTAAGCAAACAATTTGCAAGTTTGTTAAGTAGTTTCAGAGATTTATAGATTTATAGAAAATTATAAACTACCATACATAGTTACATTTTCATAGAAAATTCCACATATATAGATTAACCCCTTATTCATAAAAACTAAAACGTAATACAAATCTATTTTAACTATCACACTGTTTTGTCACTTTCTATCAAATAGGGAATTTAACTCGAAAGAAAAAGACAAAACAGTTCAATAGCTAAAATAGGTTTATAAGAGGTTCGATGTTTTTAGGAATAAGAAGGGTTATAGTTGAACAATCAAACAGTTTAATATATATCTTAGTTTAAAACAAATTATATACTAATGTCGACCCTTCCACTAGATAAAGTTACAACCTCAAATGCATTGCAGGGAGTCAGTGAATACAGGTGACTCGGGACTGTTTCTTATGGCAGTCTATACAGGAGCCCTAAGGTTAGCAGTGGACCGATAAAGGCTGAAATGATGGTGATAATAATATATTAATGTAGGCAAAGCCACAGGTGTGATCTAGTACAATTAATAAGTACCAAATAGTCACATCAATCAATTGATTCTCAAGCTAAGGTACCCTGAATTGTCAAAAATCAGGCAACGCAAACAGCCTAGATGTAAGTGAATTTAAAAAAGTTAATTTCATAAACATATCAGACTGAAGCATCAATAATTATAAACAATTAGTTTTTTTCTTTTAAATGTGTTATAATGGGTATGGTAAACCTGCCTGTACGGATTCAAATGAAAACAGGTCAGTTAACACATCCTGACAAATTCAACTAAACCATTGACCTGACAGAGTATATTGCTAGTCATGGGATTATATGACCCCATTACTAACAATCCCTTACCCCCCAACAATTACTGTTAAACCAGTCAATAATAATTTAAAAGCTTAAACCAATACACAATAAATAATTTACAAATTATTTGAATAAAGAGACCAAAGTGATTCTTAATCCTTGGACCACATTTATCTATGTATACTATAGTACTTTAAATTTACAACAAAATTCAGTACCTAATAAGAATTCTAATTACCTACCAGACATATCTTTTAAAGCACAGAACTATAAAAACTATCCACTTGGTTTTTTATAAAAATAACTTTATTATAGATTGCACTCATTTAATGTGTTAATTAAAAGTATTAATGATAATCCAGGTAAACCAAGATCCAATGGATTGTATTGAAATTGAAAAATGTGTATAAATAAGTGAAATAAAAAGATCATAGATCCATAAAATAATAAGATTCATTGATGATTTTGGTCATGTATGTGAAGTCTGTATCTCCTTATATCCTTATAATAATCTTAAAATTACCTAAATATTGTGAATTGTTATTGTGATAAGTATTAATATAAATATTTTATTAAAATTTAAATAATAAATAATGTGATTAAAACAAAATAATTCAATGCCAGTACAGCATACCGGCTACAGCATTGTTTGTAAACAAATAACAGATGACGGGTAGACCGGCTTTTAAAGATATCAACAACTAAAATTAAACATACATTCATCTATGCATTCCCAAAAAATCAGGTTTGTACGATGTTTAAAACGCCAGAAAATAAACTTTAAAGGAACTCAGGAAGTTAGAGGTTTCCAATAAACACCATGTGCTCATACGCGCCAAAATTTGACAAGAACTTATCATCCGTTTAGAGGTACAATTTACAAGTAATTAGAAGTATTGAACTTTTTTTGTAAGTATTCTGTCAAAATATATACACTATTTTAACAAAATATACGGTATATACATCGAAAAATATATTTTCAAACCAAATTGTACCGCCTCTAGTGGTGAAAACAGGAAACAAAAAACATAATGGCCGCCACACAGTAGTTTCGATGCCTGAACATCTAAATGCGCAAAATACTCACACTTTCCTCCTCTTTTTCCATTCCAGAGGGCATTTGAGGTACTGCACGATTAATCGCCGAGTAGTCCGGCAAATCCGGAAGCTCCTCGGCGAGATATATGGGCATTGGTTTCGACGCATCCAGGGCCCTCGCCCTAAACGAGAGCTTCGACATTTTGTTGACAGAACAAAACACGCTAGCGTCGACACTAAAATGCACTTATAAAACACTTTTTTGCTCCTCTAGGAGGTCCAAAAGGACCGTAAACTGAACTTTGCACACTCTAGTTCGTTCCCATGGTTAATTTTTGCACGCACTCAGTCACAATTAATGAAAAACAATAACGAAACTTTACATATTGAGCGTAGTTTGCAGAAAGCCATCATGGCGGCTTTCCGTTTGGCGGACGACCATGACCAACTTCCACCTAGCACAACGTACGCGGGAAGGAAACACGCGGGGGCGATTCCGATATTTTACACTTTTATTATTTGAATAGGACTATATTGTAACTATATTTTTTCCGTTTATACGTAATATTTCTATAATATTTTTTTGTATACAAAATTTAAATATAATATATGAATTTTATACGAACAATTTAATAAAACACTGAATTGACTACGGTGACATGTTGTACGGTATAGACTATAGAGTTGAAGCGCGACGTTCCATTTTACGTAAGTTTATTTACCACAAAAACATTATTATGTTAACAAATTTGGATATATAAGACTACACATACTTTAAATAACTTTTTTAACATGATTAATACCTTAATTAAAATAAAATTTTAATTTCTGTGTTACTTTAAATTATTTATTAATTGAAACTAATGGCCACATGGTATAATTTTTCAATAAAAAGAACCGTAAACCATAATGTTTAAAAGGGAGGTACTCACTAATTGCTGACTGTTGAATAGGTAACAAAGAAGCAAAAATAGTAAATGACGAAATATAAATAAGCATCGCAATTTTTGTTATACTATTGTTTTATTTATAGATATCGGAAATAATTATAGGTACTACTACTAATGTATATATATCCTAATAAACAATACTACTTCACTGTGTTCCGCACGAGAGATCCTTACATGAAGCGGTAATATTTAAAAAATATTATTTACTACCTATGGTCCACACAAAATAATAAAATAAAACGTAATATTAGTCTTTTTAATGATTAGATTATAGCAATACAATATCCGTCTAAAGTCCAATAGCCAATTTATATACATATATATGGCAACAATAGGGGTCCATGCTAACGAAGTAATAAAAGATTCTAACGAATTCTCTAATCGCTCATGCTATTTAATAATAAGTTTAAGCACGGTAATTAATTAAAATCTAATAAATACTGTTGTTTCAACCACACATATATCCCTGCTTTGAAAATAAATTCTTTGGCTCTATCTTTGTTCTACAAACAGTAATTTATGTGCGCTTAATTCAAACCAAAAAAGTTAAATAGATAATTATACAAGATAAATTATACAAACCGCTTAACATTTTAAGTCTTTTATATAGTAATTTTTTTCTTAAGTAGAATAAATATAAATTACCTACTTAGTTTAGGTAAGTAAATATAAAACTACATAAAGAATTTTCGATAATTATTTATTATTATTTTATTAAAATAAAACATAATAAAAAAAGAGATTTTTATATTAAAATAATAAATGTAGTGATATGATGAGACGATTCAGTTTGAGCGGTGCTTAATTATCACTACTGGAATCACGTAGTCGAATATATGAACTAAATAAATGGCCTAAATATATGAAGAGATTTTTTAAATTCCTGATTATTTAAAAATGATTATGACAATATGTAAGTGGCTCTGTATGCTGCATCTGCACCTATAAGCTACATTGACCTTTCACCATCAGGCAGACCATATGTACAATCAGTGGCTTATATTATACATTTACTTTAAAAATAACTGTTTAGTTTATTGCCTCCAGTATGTTTGCTCAATCTCGCGTAGATGACTACGCTATAAGGAGAAAAAAACTGCATCATTCAAAGGGTTGTATTTATTTATTTATTTAATTTCATTCTGCTGATTATTGCACATCATAAATAAAAATATTCTTTTTTACTAACATAGTTTGTAAGAAAACTGTTACTAAAAAAATGGACCAAATTATAGTCTAAATAATAAAGTATATTATTATATTATTATTATTATTAAAATCAAATTGCGGGTTCTACTCAGTTGATAACAACGATTCGAACTTAGCAGTAGAAACATAAAAACGATGATTTAAATAAAAGTGCTTGTAAAAATATATATATATATATATTTGAATAATAATTATTTAATTTTGTTACGGCTAAGAGATAAAAACTACAGTGGGATCGTCTCCATATATTTTTCAGTGTACTTAGTCATTAGTTGTTAATTAAAAAAAAAAAAAAAACAATATACATTGTGTCTAAAATTATATATGATTTGACAAAAAATTTTTTATATTAGAAGTATTGTAGTAGTCATATTTTTTTAAAATAAGAATATGAAGTCCACTTATACTTTACGTTAATTTATTTTTCATTGTAGTATTTACGTTAATCACTAAAACAAAAGTCATTAACGGAGTAATAAAATTTTTCAAATATATATATATATTTTTATTAATTTTAAAAAAAATTTTAAGAAATGAGACTATGTATAATTTTTGCTTGCACGCTTATTTTTCGGTTATAAAAGAGTTAAATATGACAGTAAAATTACAAGGTATGGAAATTATTCGTTAGTTCTCAGGAATGGCAATGCACGAAAGATAGCACGTGTTATGATGTACATGATGCTGTTCGTGTCTATAAATGACGGTAACCTCTTTCCATCAGGCGCACTGTCAGTTTGCTCGCCATTATGTTTTTTTTAACGAGTGAAAATAGAATGGTTCCCTGCGCTATTAGTGTACTCTATACTAATGAAAGATGACGGGTGAGGATGATGATAGATCAGTTAGCCCATCATGGCGAATTCATCAAGATTTAACCAAGACAGTTTCTAAGGGGGAACAGTGTGAAGGTCAACCTTATAAAGTATATTGCTAGCAATGGGATTGATAGAATCTATTACTAACCATTCCTTTCCCTACTATTACCCCGCCAGCAACCAACAGCGTAAGTGAGGTTACCATTTTTTTATATACCTTACAAATTAATTTGAAACCATTAGGAAAGTATACTATTCACATAATATATATTTATTGTAGACGATGGTGAACTGAAAAGGCGTATTTTTAATGTCATGACAGGAAGATAAGAATAAAAATGTGTAGAAAATTTACTAAAAACATGTTTTAATCCCAGTATTATTAATTATGTAGCGTAGTATACAATTCATGTTTACTGTTTAAGCGATTGAGTAATTTTTATATACTTTTTACATGGCAACACATTGAATGGTAAAAAAATCCTACGTAAGAGTATATTTACTTATTTGAGCAATTTTTTAAACGACAAGTCGACAAAGTTTCTTTAATCTGTGGCTCAAATATCCAATATAAATATTATTCATTATTTGTAACAATTTTGTTTAAATAACTACTTTGTTATTACTCTTTAAACATACTTTATAAAAGTGTTGCCATATGAAAATATTAACTGATTATAATTAATCCAACTAGGTAATTTGCTATGAAGAAATATAATTTAATAATTCGGTTAGGTTAGGTACACAGATGTTACTGTAAACAGCCATAGTAATGTGATGATTCGTAAGAAAATTTGTTATCGATAAAACTTTACGAATCGGCTAATATTATTTTGTTTATATCACGAAGGTGGCAACAAGCATACATAATTTTATAATTTACCTTCTACGAATCCATATTTGCACTTCTTTGTTTATTTATTTAAACTTAATTACCAATAAAAGTGGTACAAACGAAAGCCAGGTTTTAATGTTATTGGGATTTTCTACCACCTAATCTTTAATAAGTGTAAATGTAAATTATGTTAGAAATATTTAAAGGTGGTTTAGTGTAGAAAAAAAAAATTACTCGGCAATTTGCAACTTCTATTGTGAACACACTAATAACTTATTTGTAATCGTGTAACAACTCGTTTTGCAGATACCCTACGTTGCAAAAATTGCGTATTCACTTATACATTTTGTTTCTCAACAGTTTGCCAGTTTTTTCCCACGTTCAGAAAAACGACAGTTTTAATTATCACAAAATTAAAACGAGTCCAGCACGAAAAGAGACCTTAATAGATTATTATTGGATTGCAAAAAAAAATTATGAAAATGGTTACAGAATTGAAGACGTAATTGGAAAAAAAGAATCAGTCAAATTTACTCATTTTTGAAAGTCGCTCTAAATGTAGGAATATTTTATTTTTGAATTATTATTATGGCCTGTTCATAATAACATCTAATAGAAAATTCGAACACAACAGTCGTTACAAATTTTCTGTATGTATAATTTAAGATACTCCCCCCCCCCCACCCCCCTCCTCGACCCGACTATTACAGCCCTTACTATTTTCTGTCGAGTTTCCTTTAAAGTCGGAGCTTTTATATAGAATTACGTGCGCGGTGATTTACTTTCTACTGAAAACGCAGGTAAATTGATATATAAATAAATAAAAATACATTTAACACCAGCGACTGTTGTGTTACATATCTTATTATCTAGTATTATTATGTAATTGGTGCGTTTGCTATTTATATTTTAAAATCGCATTGAATTAACGAACAAAGGAGTTTCATCTGTATTTATGAGAGATTAGGATATCATTTTGTTTAAACAATTTACGAGGATGAAAAAAAACATGCTTACGATTTTTTTATCATTGCGGTCTCATGGCAAAGTTGGAAACTTCAAAAAAAGGAAAATCAACTTTATTATATATGGATAAGTATAAAATTTGCATGTGCACTATACGCTATTGTGATTGTTAAGAGCGTTCATAACTCCAGCTTACCAAAGTGTGGCAACATTACAATTATTTGTCAATTAAAAAAAAATCTATTTTCAATGTTTCTGGCCGATTATTTAAAAAATATTTTAAATACATAATCGGGACTTAACGTGATAAAAAACCATTTGCAGGTAAATAGTACCTACACACCTGCTCCTTTATTGCCTACGTTTTTTAGTCGTGGTAAGTCTCAGCTATGTATTTAAAATAACAGAAACAATAATTATGCAATAATATTAAGCAATCACTGAAAATTTTAATTTAGAAGATGTGAAAAAAGTAACTGAAAAATTCTAAAGAAAAATGTTTTTTATTGTTAAAGGGGCAAACGAGCAGACGGTCCACCTGATGAAATGCGGCTACCGTCGCCATGAGAGGAGTTGTTCAAGCGAGGTCGGCCTTTATTTAAAGTAAGTGCAAAATATTTTATGATTAACATCTTAGTTCATTAGCAGAACAGTTTTTAAATAATCTATCAAAAACATTAATTTTTGTATCGTTTTATTTTAATTATTAAAATTTTGACTGACAGATAATTGTGACGTTGCTATAATTCGGTAATGTAAATTTATGTACACTCAAATCTAATTTGAATTTGGAATTATTTTTTTTTTTATCGTAAATACTCCGCTTCCCCTCTGACGACGGCCAGTACAACAACAAGACTCGAAATATAAAACCTCATTTCTATATCTACAAAAAAAGAATATTTTACAATTTAACATAACAATTTATTCAGACAGTTTCGTTATTAATTTTAAATACAAATAATTATTAATTATGTAAAAATACGTTTTCATATATTCCACAATGCATTGAGTATCATATTTCTGACAGGCTATATTGTACCTTACTCGCTCTATTCGATACATCTATCTCACTCTCTCTCTCCTGTCATGGTTTTAGTACAGTTCACGACAAACTTATCTAGAAACCTCTATCCGTGCAGACAAAGTTCAAATTACATTTTGATAACCCGATAAACAAATATTTGTATTAATACTAATAATTCATACATTCATACAGTAATTCGATCGGGCGGCTAAACTACAAGTAACAAATGAAAAAAAAAAAAAACTAGAGCATCCATATTAACACGACATTTCAAGCTGTCAACAGATGTCGCTTTTTCATAAAAGCCTCAAACCTTTTAGCCATTTAGCTGGTTTGTCTCTTTCTTTTACACTAAATTCCCAGTTTGAAAAAAAAAATAGCAAAACAGTGTAATAAATATAACAGGTTGGGGGAAAGCGATTGTTAGTAATGGCAATATATAAGAGTTTGTCAGGTTTTTGATGATTCATATGATGGGGGCCTGTTTTCATTCTCATTACCGGTGCCCCGCCAGCGTATCCCGTTAGCGCAGGCGGGGCTACCATACCATTTTTACCCATCAAAAAAAATATAATAGGTTTGTAGGTTTTTATGAATAAGGGCATTAATATGAGAGGCATTACACTTTTTTGTACTTTCAAGCGTGATTCATTAAAAAAAAAAATAAAGTTCAGTTACATGATAGAACAGTCTTAAAAGAATGCTGTACGATTCCGAATTTAAGTAGAATACATTTTTTTTTTTATATCTTTAAAGGACTTGGTATAAATATAGATTTTTTTCATGATTGATAAATTTAACCATTCAATAGAACTACAATTTATATTTTGTTAACTCAGCATTCTGAAATCATACCATTGAAAATAGAAAAAGCAATAGTAGTAAAGTATTCGTCTAAGAACAACAAGCCTGACTAAATTGTAAGGATTTGATACTACAGTAGAATCTCGATTATCCGGATATTCGATTATCCGGATATTCGATTATCCGGACTCATTCTTCACGGCTCTAATTACCGAATTTAGAAATAGAGTATTATGTATTAATTGGGTAAATAGGTATTATGTAATCCATTATCTATATAGCTCGTAATTTTTTTTTTATATCGTATTGTCTCTAAATGACGTATTTAAAACCCTTTACATAATAAAAATAAAAATTTAATTATATATTATTTTAATTTTATTGTATCCTAAATACCTATGTGTAAATTTAAGTTGTTTGTGAGGAGACATAAATAAATATATTATTATTACTCGACTTTGTAATCGATTATCCGGATTTTCGATTATCCGAAATATCCGTGATTTTATTCGATTCGGACAATCGCAGATTCTACTGTATTTTGAAAACTTTTATTTGTAACATTTCATTTATATATAATATACAATAAAACCATGATTTACCAGTTACTTCATATTGTGTTGATTAAATTAATATATTTTACTATTAATTCTTGTAAATGTTACAATTTATAATGAACAGCAAACGAAGGCGCAGTAAATATCGTGGGGAGGTCGCGCCACACCGCTTGCCGGTACAAAGTCGCCGCTGACGCATCCATCAGTCCGCGGTTGACAATAAATATACCTATATACTATTATTATGTATTTATATTACAGATAACAGTGCGCAATGCCGAGTTATTATACAAATTCAAAGCGATATAACTTGAATATTATGAATAATTAATTTACATACAGATTTAAAAAACAACCATCATCACATATAAATTTTTAAACAAATATTATGGTTTACAAGAGAGTAATTAACACAATCATTTCAGTGCCATCAATATAGTGACACAATGGGGTCAATTCTGAAGCACTATCCCTCTAAACCTATCTCTTAAAGTTAATATTTAATTAAAATTAATTAATTCGACAAGTTCTCGAAGTTAAGTTCCATTGACCGTCATAAATTAAATTACCAGAGGGAGACTTTGTACAAAAGTCGATTGCTTGGGTACCTCTGTCCCATTCGTGTTTCTACCGTGAAGCAGTTGTGTTCTCATCGTTGTGTTTCGGTTTGAAGGGTGGGATATGGCATGAATTTACTGGGTACAGAGGAGTAACATCTGAGTCCTCAGGAATGGCAACGCATGGGGGGGTATCATGGGCGAAACAGTATACTCTGTTATGTCCACGGTACTGCTCTTGTCTATAGGCGACGGTTACCACGTTCCATCAGGTGGACCGTCAGCTTGTTTGCCATTCTAAGTTGTATAAAAAAAATATCTATTCGAAATTTATTTCATATTGGCCATTAGAATAAAGATTTCGCTGTTATTCTAAATAAATAATTAGACAATTAAATAATTCAGCAAACATTTTTACACTTACAATGCAGGTTGATACAGAGTGAAAATACCATGTGTAGGAGGTGAAAGTGTTACGCAATGCTTGCCTAAATAATCCCCGTTCAGCGTTTTGCTGCAGCCGAGGAGCTACAGCGTTGATCTTCAGCGGGAGCCCTTCAGATAGGATCGATAATTGGTATAGGTTTAAAAAAATGGCGCATTAGAATCGACCCCAATTTGTGTGATGTATGACAATGTGTGGGTAGAAAAAATACCTCTACTGCGGTCGCGGAGACATGACACTACATCCAGTCTTCTCGTGACTGCGGCCGGCGTAACATGGTCATGGTCGAAACGTCGAGATATCTCAAGTAAGTTATTATAGTTTACCTAAATGACCGTGTTAAGTCCCATCTCTTAAACCATAAATCGTTACCACTGTTTACCATATACCAAATTTCACTTGGCTATTTTTGTAACACTTCAAAATACACTGTCACACTCGAGTTTTTATAAATACACAGACTTAGATGTTAGATAGATGACGCAGATTAAAAAAAACACGCCTGTCGTATTTAAGAAAAAAAGCTAATAAATTTATTTTATAATTAACCATTTTTTTTTTCACAACGAATTTACGTCACCACTTAATACAAGAATAATATACAAGCAACTGGTGATTTTCGCCAAAATATCGTGGACGTGCATCGACATTTAATAACGTCTTCATACAATTTTGCATACACTTTCATATTATATCGTGATGGTAAATTAATACTATTATATATCACGCTATAAATTATACAAATGCCCAATAATCAAAAATATTTAATCAAAAATTTGCTCGGTGTCAAAACATTATTTAAAAAAAAAAAACTGCAATCTTTTTTTTCTTAAATATATTTCATGTATAAATATACATTACAGTTACGTGTTTAAATTTTTTAGTATGTCTTTTAAAGAAATAATTTGTATGTAATAAATAAATAGCAAAAATAATAATGTTTTTTACGATAATTGTAATTTTCTGTATGTATTTTTTTAAATAATTATTTATATGTTGCCTTTTTTGTCATATTAAATGCTGAATTTGAAACAAAATTTACTAAATACTCCAACAGTTGCAACACTAGTTTGAGGAATTTATTTTTTACGAATAACTATATATTAAATATGAAATATACAAAAAACTATAAACCTGTTTTTTTATATCCTCGATTTTTTTTTATTTTAAGTGCAATAGAATCGGCACGCGTCATTCATGGCACTGCGTCATCTATTTAGTCCTAGGTCTGTGGTAATATTTGTTAATCGTGAGCAGTTTCAGTAGATAAGTTGATGTCGCCGAGGGCAGTGGAATCAGCTCTGCTCGATGGAGTCATCAGACCGGCTGGCACTCCGGCAGTCGCCGGTGGGCGCCACCTTCGACGGCTTTGCGCTCTTGCCCACAAATATTTCCACCTCCTGAAAAAATATAAAAATAAATCTTATTTATGTGTACTTGGCTTCCAAACTGGCATTAGAAATGTAGGCCAAACTTGAATGGAATTAGAGAGGTCATATTTTTTTTTAATGGATGATTATGGAATAGTAACCCCGCATGCGCTATCGGTATACACTGGCGGGGCCACCAGCGAGAGATGATTGGTGGGGATGAAAAAGCAGGGCCGTTAGCTCATCAGCACGAATTCAACGATAAATTAGTCACAATGATTTCCAGGGGGAGCCATGTAGATGTCGGCCCGATAGCGTTTTCTGCTAGCAATAAATTTAATTATTAACAATTCTTTCTACCCTCTGTTTGTTTGTTTAGGATGACGACCTAATAGGGTATTGCTGGGGTGGGGGAGGGTTTTGTTAGTAACGTGGACAGCTAGTACACTTACTAGCAATAAACCCTGTCAGGTCGACCTCCACATGGTCCCCCTGGAAACTATCGTGTTGAATTTCAAGTGTCCTTATCACAATGGGCTAAGCGACCTGTCTTTTCATTCTCACCTATCTCTTACTGGTGCCCTGCCAGCGTATATCGTTTTTTTTAATGGGTGAAAATGGTATGGTAACCCCGCCTGCGCTAACGGGATACGCTGGCGGAGCACCAGTGAAGGGTGATAGATGAGAATGAAAACAGGCCAGTTAGTCCATCATGTTGAATTCTTTAGAAATTAGCCATGATATATTCCAGGGGAGAACGCGAAGAAGTCGACCTGGTTGGGTATATAGCTAGCAATGGGATTCTCAGTCTCCATCACTAACAATCCCTTTCCCCCCAGCGTATACCATTAACGCGAGCGGGGTTAACCATCCATTAAAAAAAAAATATGGTATTGCTAACAATGGGATTTCTAATCTCCATTACTAACAATTGCTCTTTCTCCCTGGCACTCCACCTATCGGAACTCATCCGGCAAATTCTGATAGATGAACAAAGAGTCCCACCCAGTGAATGCCTGCAGATGGACTACTAACTACCGGTTTAATTATGCGTATTTAGTCGAGAAAACTCCACTAGTTTCGGGACCATCCGGGACCCTTAGTCAAAAGCAGCTGTAAATGAGCGCGAATATAAATATTGAATTTGAAAGACAGCGGTTTAGGATTAGCATATTTGAACCATAGTTAAACGTTGTTCAGCTGAGCTATCACTGTTTTGATTTAAACGAGAAATTCATCCATATGTAATATATAATTAAAATATATTTTTGTGATTAATACCTGACTGCCTTCGATGCCCATATCCTGTGTCTCCTGGCTGCAGCCCGGGGCGGCCGCTCGCGCCGCTTGCTGACGTTCGCGCGCCACACGTCTGTAAATTAAGGGTGGGCAATATATAGCAATATCTATATATCTTGGGTAACTCTGTCCCATTCGTGTTTTTACCGTGAAGCAGTTGTGTGTGCATGGCTGTGTTTCGGTTTGAAGGATGGGATATGGCGTGGATTTACAGGGTACACAGGAATAACACCTGAGTCCTCAGGATAGGCAACGCATGGGGGGTATCATGGGCGAAACAGTATACGCTGTTATGTCCATGGTACTGCTCATGTCTATAGGCGACGGTTACCACTTTCCATCAGGTGGGCCGTCAGCTTGTTTGCCATTCTAAGTTGCATAAAAAAATGTCACCTACTATCTCTCACTGATATCCTGCAGACGAAGTCACCATTCCACATTTTTTAACAGGACACTTTAGTTTTTATGAAGTCAAGTCACCATGAGGTATTCCACAAGAATTAACCACGATGGTTTCTAGGAGTCCTCCTCGGTACGGAGGTCGACCTGATAGGGTATATTGCTTGCTGTTAAACCCTACCTACAATCCCTTTCCCCTTCCAATAAGGGGGTCATAGTTACCTCCTGTGCTCGAGCATGGCCTTCCTGTCGGCCTCCCGCTTCTCGGCTGCCCTGCGAGCCCTCTCGTTGTTGGCGGGCGGCGCCGCACGCCGCGCCCTCGCCGCCAGCGGAGCCGCCGCCGCGCCGGGGGCTGCGGCCGCCACGCGAGGCTGCGGCGGGGACACCTGACAAATGGAAGTCATGTTATAACGATGCGGAAAAGGTGCGCATCCCTGGTACGCAAAGTACGTGCCAGCGCCAACAGCATCCTGAGTATGATAGCAAGCAGGCTGCACTGTGTGTACGTTAATCACTGCTGCGCAATTTCCAATGGTATTGTGCAGCGGTGATTATCTTCATATTATTTAATATATTATATGTGTGTATGTGTGTATGTATGTAAATTTACTAACATTAGTTTTAAGAATTGTTACTAATAAATATTTAATGGACCAAAAAAGTTTGAAATAAAAAACTATTATTATTAACATATTATAACTAGAATAATCATACATCACATTTTTCTTATATTTTTTTTTCATACAACTTAGAATGGCAAACAAGCTGACGGCCCATCTGATGGAAAGTGGTAACCGTCGCCTATAGGCATGAGCAGTACCATGGACATAACAGAGTATACTATTTCGCCCATGATACCCCCCAAGCGTTGCCATTCCTAAGAACTCAGGTGTTATTCCTCTGTACCCAGTAAATTCACGCCATATCCCACCCTTCAAACCGAAACACAGCCATGCAAACACAACTGCTTCACGGTTGAAACACGAATGGGACAGAGGTACCCAAGCAATCGACTTTTGTACAAAGTCTCCCTCTAGTACAACCATATGGTTATAGCATGAAGGTGGTAAACAAGCATACAGCCCATCTGATAGTAAATGGTCAATGTAGCCTATGGACGCCTGCAACACTAGGGGTGTCATGTGCACGTCGCCGACCTTAATACACCCTTTTTGAAGAACATTTAATAAAAACTTGTCTGAGCCAATAAATTTAACCGTTTACCATCGGACGGGCTGTATGTTTGTTTGCCGCTTTTGTAACCATGATATGTGTACTTAATTCCTGCCGACCAGAAGTTGTTAACTCCAAACAGTTAAGACACTAGAGTCCCTTAAAATTCACGAAAAATGACTAAAAAACACTCATTTTCAGCACGCTGTCGCTAATGGTAGGTATTTATTGAGCAAATTATTATTTGGTATACTTAAACTACTATCTATTCACCTAAGAAGACTTTATCTTGTCTCGTATCTATAATTGCATAGATAATATGGATACCGATCCAAAGTTAACTATATATTAATGGTCGGAAAAAAGATTTTTATCACCCACTTTTTTAATACGATATCGCAAACAAAATCAAAATTGTAACGGTTTTTCTGGATTTTTAACATACAAATTCAGATGTTATTGCACAAACATATAGATATAATAATAATAATAATAATAAATAATAATAAATAAAGATTCTGCCCTGATGAATTCATTGTACGCCGGTTTCTCTCACTGGTGCCCTGAACCCCGGCGCAGGCGGGGTACCATACCATTTTCACCCAAAAAAAAAAAAAAAACTAGTGTAGACTTTATCTTGTCTCGTTTCTATGATTGCATAGATAATATGGATACCGATCCAATAACTATATATTAATGGCTCTCCTTCGATAGATGGGAGATGAGAATTTTAGTGAAATAGATTAAAAAATAATAATAATAAATCTCTTTATTTTCATGTATATACCCATAGTTAACATTTTTATATTATTAATTAAATAAATTGTTATTATTATTTTTAAAATATACATCAATTATAAAATACCAATTTAAATTATTTCGTTATAAAATCTCTTGTCGTCAGGTATGCTGTGAGAAATACAGTCTTTACAATATTATTACTTTTTGTCATTAATCTGTCATGAAATTTTGCCTTATAATTACGTAAAATAGCAAAAAAATCATTAACCCTGATAACTGATGATTAACCATGATATTATAACTAGAATATATAGATATTGTTATATATTGCTATTCATTATCATATCAGCCTTTGTGCACAGTTGAAAAATAAGCCTCCCCTTGGGGGGTTTTGCTAGTAGTCGCCACGCAGAGCAGACGGATTGGCAACCGCAGTCAGGGCTTTATAGATGTTTTAAGAGGGACGCTGCTGCCCATCCCTCGGTCTCCCTTAGTCATATTTTACGACATCGACAAGTAAGGAACGGGTTACTACCCACCATTAATTGCCGGTCTGTCAGTACATAGTATATTTTACTACATGTGTGATATAAACGATACCTCTTGCCAATTGTTGGCCTTCAGCTGCGCTATATGTTCGTACAGGGCGTCGACATTCTTCACTTGCAGACACACCATGTCCCAGAATCCCTGGAGGTCCTCCACCGTAGTGGGGAAGGGCTCGTCCAGCCGCTCGTTGATGTTGTTGTAGCAGAGACCTGGAAATTAGGAAGAAACTAATAAACAAAACGAACGTATCGAGCATACGGCCCGCCTGGTGGTAAGCGAAATAAAAAGAAGCAACGGCTGCTGTTTATATTGTATTTTCATATACAAGTAGACTTTCCTCTATTTATTTAATTTAAATCAATACTGTTAAATAGTTTAACATTCCTGCACTTTGTTTATGATTTTTTTATGCAATTTAAAATGTCAAACGAGCTGACAGCTCGCCTGATGGAAAGTGGTAACCGTCGCCTATAAACATGAACTATGAAAATAACAGAATACATTGTGACACTAGAAAAAAAAATATCCATGGTACTCCGAAATATAATATTTTCAAATCATGACATCATATGGTAGGAAGGAATATAAGAAAGAAAATTTATGGGTAAAACACGGTGGTGAGTATTTGTATGGACTGCCGGTCCCAAAACGTATATTAATATTTTAAAAGAGAATATAGCTCAAATGGGTTTTAACAATAATTGGATATTTTTACAAGATAATGACCCCCATGGAATATCAGGTTGACCTCCACGATATTAATATTATAGAGCATGTGTGGGATTATCTCGATAATAAAATTGAAAACCATCGTAAAGCTGAATTCTTATATTTTCAAAGATGTATTCATCACGATGTGGTCCAACAAAGTATTAATATTTTTTTAATATTCATTTACTTACAAATTTTATGAGGGAATACTTTTTGTTTGGATTAACGTAAAAATATTTTTATGTTGTATAATTTTTTTTATTAAAAAACAAAAATTATCATAAAGGTTAAACTATTTAAAAATCTCATTGCTAGCAATATACCCTGTATAACCAGGTCGACATAGTCGTCGCCTATAAACATGAACTATGAAAATAACAGAATACATTGGAAACTATCATGGTTAACCCCCTATCCTGATGAATTCATCATCACGATGGGCTAACTAACTTCCCTTGAGGGCCTGTTTTCATCCTCATCAATCATCCTTCACTGGTGCTCCGTCAGCGTAGCGCAGGCGGGGTAACCACTCCATTTTCACCCATCAAAAAAAAATAATACTGACTTGCCTTTTCGCTCTCACCTATCATCTTTAACTGGTACCCCGCCAGCGTATACCATTCGCAAAGGCGGGGCCGTTATCATTCCATTATCATCCATTAAAAAAAAAAGAACCGTCGCCTATAGACATGAACAGTACCTTGGGCATAACAGAGTATACTGTTTCGCCCATAATACCCCCTCTATACGTTGTCATTCCTGAGGACTCAGGAATGATTACAACGGCTGAAACTCGAGAAGTACCCAAGCAGATGAGTTTTGTACATGGTCATTTGATACTTCGTGGTGGTCTCTTACCTTCAAACTGCTGCATCTTCTGTGTGGCCAGCAGGCGAGCCTTACCGGAGGCAGAACGGAGCAAACCAAGAATCTCTTCACTGACATCCTGGTTCTGAAATTTAGACGTAAGTACATATTAAACACTTAATTAAGAATAAAATAAAAAATATTTATTGCCAGAAAAACATAATTATAACAGAAAATTCAGTAATATTATATACAAGAATATTATTATATTATGGCAAACAAGCTGACGGCCCACCAGATGGAAAGTGGTAACCGTCGCCTATAGACATGAGCACTACCATGGACATAACAAAGTATACTGTTTCGCCCATGATACCCCCCATGTGTCCCAGTGCAATGTGTACAGCTGCACAGCGCTGGTTTCCAGCCAGTCCCCATCTTAACAAAATACAACAAAAATGCAGGATACAACTGCATTTGCCTCTTACAAGAATTATTTCTTAGATAATACACTAATTAAATACATATTAATATAAAATTAGTCCATGGGTGCCGGATCGGTGAGGGGCAGGGAAGGGGGGACAGGTTCGTTACATCACACCGACAATGCTGTTTATTGCTCATAGAGGCCGCGAGAGATTGTGTCAAAGATGTCAAATAAGTAATGACGTAATATTTATTTATAATAATGTTGGTTGTGTAAATAATTAAGAGAGATAATGTCATGGTCGCGGCTATAGAGTCTGGGCTGCATTAATAACGTATTTTTTTTATGGTTTACGATAAAGTATCTAAGGCATCCTGTCCTCGCTATTGGATACGGGTGACGGAATGCCTATACAAGAGGGTACATGGTGGGCGCAATATTCGAGGAACATAAAGAAGGTAAATAAACGGTCGGATACTGCAACTAATGAGTATGCGGTCGGCCTCCGAACTGGCGACCTCTGCTGTCTACCGGTCCTTAATTTAAGGGCCGATTTATCAGCCGTAAGAAATGACGCAGGGTGCTTATGAAGGCACAACAATTATGTAGTTGCATTTAATAAAGTAAATTGGAAATTGTCGAGAAATGGTATGTGTAAGGGAGATATTGAAAGCGGAAAACAGTGTTAAAGACGTATTGCTCTCAATTATGTTAGTGTCAATTTTGTTAATGTGAAATCGATGTCTTAAAAAAATTTTGCGTGCATCTAAAATTGGTGTAAATTAAAGATGCAAGCCCTATATATCAATTAAAATTAATATCTGTATTTACACTGTTGATGTACCATTTAAAATAAATAAAAAAACTATGACAACCAAAAATGTATCGAGGAGAACTCGCCTTGCCACAATTTAGGGAGTACAGACCCCAACAATCATGTATAGAAGAGAATCGTGGGTATAGCAGAAGTATGCAAGTAAGATTGACGTTATAGAGATGAAGATAGAGTGAGAAATAGTGTGATTAGAGAGAAGTGTCGACTGATAGCCATTTGGTGAGGATGGACGAAAGAAGAATTACGAAAGAGATTTATCGAGCACGAATGAATGGAGATGTCGGTAGGGGTCGCCCTGGACGGACGTAGCCCTCCAAATAGGCGACGTGCCGAAGAAGGGCCAAATTAAGAGTATTCGTAACCGGCGTAAATAAGTGTTTATTATTACGAGTAGATTAATGAATGTGTAGAAAGCGAATGAGGTTTGTTTAAATCGGAGCATTTGGTTTTCTATTGTATCTGCTTACCCTAATGAAAAACAGGCATGACGAATATGTATGTATGTATGAACCGATCCTAAAAATTGGGGATGTCCACCTCAGAAATGCCCAGTGCCCAACCTAGTTTTTGTCTATGCTTGTGCAATAGGTCTGAAAATATATATTCTATGCCTTATTTACGGAGCCAGACTTCCCCTGGAGAATAATCCTATGCCAATGACGATGGTTACCATTCTCTATCAGGTAGACTGTCAACGACTATCAAAACGTTTATTACATCTAGATAGAAAAAACCTCAAAATAATGATAGGGACAATAACGGGTCATTGTCCATTAAACAAACATTTATACACAATAGGAGCCACAGACAGCCCTCTATGTCGAGGCTGTTTCGACGCCGAAGAAACGGCTGCTCACGTAATCCTGGAATTTGAGGCTGTGGCCCATCAACGTTTAGAAATCCTCGGAACGGTGAGGTCGCTCCGTGAGGCCTGTGAAGAACCCAGGAAGCTTTTACGCTTCTGAGCGGGGCTAGGTTGGCTGCACTAGCCACGACTCATACGCACAATGGCCCAAATGAGAGGCTAAGCGCGGAAAATAGAGTCTGTTTCACATTCACAGGTAGACTGTCAGATTATATGTCATTGCAAGTTGCATAAATAACTAGTCCACGTGATCAGCGATTGGATTTGAACTTATGACCTCACAATATGGGCAACAGACCACTGGGTCACAAGGGCATCCTTATCTGCATTGATTTGTAAATATTTATAATCCTTGTATAGATAGGCGCCAAATAAACAAGATTAGTCATACCCACTACATCAAGGTTAATATAATACAATGATTCTAAATTCTGTAAAAGGTCGTATATTAATCGCAAGAAGCGGATTTGAGCATAATAAAATATTTACAAATTTAGAATGACACCGAATAGACTGTTAACTGTCCACTGCTGAACATAGGCCTCTCCCTTGGGGAGTTTTGCTGGTAGTACCTCGGCAGGTGTTTTTTTTTTGATGGGTGAAAACGGGATACGCTGGCGGAGCACCAGTGAAGGGTGATAGATGAGAATGAAAACAGGCCAGTTAGCCCATCATGATGAATTCATCAGGAATTAACCATGATAGTTTCCAGGGAGAACGGCGAGGAGGTCGACCTGGTTGGGTATATTGCTAGCAATGGCAATGATTCTCAGTTTCCATTACTAACAATCCCCCCCCCCCCGGGCAGGTGGTTGGCAACTGCAGATGGGCTTTAGTGCTGTTTTAAGAGAAATGCTGCTGCTCATCTCTCAACCATTAAATTTCCTTAGTCACTTCTTAAGACACTAACGGCAAAGGATGGCTCCTTCTATATCGGTTTCTATGGGACCAATCTCTAAATATACCCTTTCGAACAGAAAACGAATTTTTCAAATCTGTTTACAACTGACGAAATTATCGGGTAACAAGTATAAAGAAAAGTACATCTGAATTGAGAACCTGCTTCTTTTTGAAGTCTGTTAGAAATGAATTATTAGTAACATGGATTAGAAAACTCATTGCTAGAAATATACCTTGTCAGACCGATCTCTGGCCAATTGGCTTGACATTATACTCAGCTACCACCATATCCCTATTTAAAAAAAAATACTAGGGGGAAAGGGATTGTTAATAAGTGGTTCAAACAGACCCATTACTAATAATATCCTATACCCTATCAGGTCTATCTTCATGAGTTTCCCAATTGTAGTTAATTCTTGTTAATTTTATCAGGATGTGCTAACTAGCTTGCTTTCAGTTTACCCGTCATCTCACACTGGTGCCTTGCTAGCCGATAGCGCAAGAGGGAATCCATTTTCACCCATCAAAAAAATCGTCGTCAAAAGGAATGGAATCCGTAAAACTACTTTTATAACCTAAATTCTCGATTTAAACATTCAGCAAGTTACCTGCAAATTTTCCAATTCCTTCTCAGCAGTAACTGACAACGCGAGCAGCCTCTCCGTCTCCTTCTTCTCCAAATCCAAGAAATAATGTCCATCTTTCACCGGCTCTTTCACACCATTACTTTTTTCACCATTAACACTAACCACGGGCTCATTAACACAAACTACTGCATCGTTTTGCTTCGAATCGTCCAAATTTATCACAGACACACCATTTGTAATCATATCACTCGGTTTCGCTTCAGTCTTCTCGGGTACTGGAATGTTTTCGGGCTTCTGAGGTGATAGTTCAGGCTTGACACTCTTCTTTGGCGATAATATAGGCAGTTGCGCCCTGAACTCTGGCCTCAGATGCCTGAGCACAGGCAAAGACACGTCAGATTCACCATTGGGACTAGAATACATATTTTCACTTTCGAAACTTTCAGATTTCCGAGGAGTAACGAACCTCTCGCTTGGACAGTTCATAGATTTTTCCGTCAACACCTTGGGTTCGTCTTCATCGCTTAAGCTCTTTAGTTTATGCCGTTTCTGATTGAAGAAACCCTGAGCGAGTGCACCAGGCCCGTATAGTCTTTCGACGCGCTGCTGTATAAAGCTCTTCATCGGACTGGTCAACTTTTCTCCGTTTTCTTTAGTTATCTCTACCCGTTTAGACATTCCATTCGATGATATCGTGTACGATTCAGAGCTAACGAAACGAGACTCTTTTCCGTTGGTCGTAACCGTCTTCCGAAAGTTCGTTTCGGAGTAACTCGACTTGAACGTCGTTAGCTCTTTAGCGTTATCGACCTCGTCTTTCTGGTGGAGCATGGATGATGCGAAATTTTTGCTCTCGTTGGAAATGTACGATCTACTGGTAGTCGTCATGCTGGGGCCTAGGAAATCGTTCTTTAATTGTTTATTTTCGGCTGCCATGTATACATGTAGCGGTGAAGAAGCTAGATACGGGTCTGTGTGCGCCTTGGAAGGCGCTTTCGCTGTCAAATCCGTGCGTGTATCATGAGGGCCGAAGGTGGGGACCAGCAGTTTGTTGGCGCTAACCGGAACTGGCACGAGGAGCGAATTATTCTCTGTTCTGTACTGATACGTGTGGGTTATCGGCCTTATAGGCGACGCTTCTCGACTTTTGTTGATATCTTGCCTTAATTTGGAGTCGTATGTGGTTAAATTGGTGTACCCGTTTACTGAGCAAGCGAGGTTTAAGTAACTGGGCTTCTTGTGGGTTACTTCGTCCCGTTTCTTGTGATGGCCTCGAGACCTATGACTTCCAGCATCGATGTGGACTTTCGGGGGAGGCTTGAGGAGGTTTTCTGACTTTTTGGGAGTGGGTGTGGCGTCGTCTAGTGTCCGCGTGGGGGTAGCTATCGGTGTTATTTGCGGGGGTTGGTTAGACGCTCGCTCCTGGATGCGGGACGTGAAGTCCCGGATACGGCTTGTCGTCGACGACGGCGTTAGGAGATTCAAGCTTCCCGATGTGGTATCTGTAATTTAAAACATATTTTCTATTTAAATTTACGACTAATGGTGCTGGAAGACACCGAAGACTAACCAAATTAAACCCGGGAGAAAGGAATTATTTGTAATGGAGACTAAGAATCCTATTGCTAGCAATATACCCAACCAGGTCGACCTCCACGTGGTTCCCCCTGGAAACTATCATGGTTAATTCCTGATGAATTCATCATGATGGGCTAACTGGCCTGTTTTCATTCTCATCGATCACCCTTCACTGGTGCCCCGCCAGCGTCTCCCGTTAGCGCAGGCGGGGTTACCATACCATTTTCATCCAATAAAAAAAAAACAATTTAAACCGAGTGACGGCGGTAGGCTAGCGCCCTGCCACGTTGGATTTTAGTATGCTCCAGAAAATATGGGTATGTCGAGAGTTATATTCATCACAACGGGAACAATTGACAAATGCCTCTGACAACCTTACTAGCGGTTATAGGCGTGAACATGTTTATTATTTATTACATTATTACAGGCTTATCTTCTAATTATCATATTAATGTAACTGTTTTTATCAGCTAATGATTAAAATTAAATACAATATATACATACAATATATTGTTAGCCAATACCGTGCAAACGTGCAGTGGTGTAAACCTCAATTTTTTTTTATAAATTATGGAATAACAATTGTTGTATTTTCTATTGTGTGTAAAGATAATTATAATATTATATTTTTTAAGTGAAAGGATGGCAAATGTGCCTGCGGTTTACCGATGGTAAGTGATTGCTATTCTAGTGTAGCAAACATGGAAAGCCGTCGTATGGTAAACCACATTAGAGGCCTTCTAACAATTAAGGGGGCCACTTAGAAATATTCGGCGCTAGAGGGCACCCCCCTAATCGAGTAATAGTTAATCTAGGTCTCACCAATACATGCTTTATATATAAAAATATTATGATTATATAATAATCCATTATATATGCCATATATCTAAAATATATGCATCCATAGGCTACAGTGGACGTTTTCCATCCGTCTGATGACGTATGGCTGTACGCTTTATTTCCGTCTTCATGGTATTAAAAAAAATGGCTTCTCCCATTTCAACGCATTATTATAACCATAGTAATAAATCTTTACTCATTCATAAAACATACATTCAAATAAAATCTTTCTCAAACAGTTAAATCACGAAGTTACAAAATATAATTTAATAAAAAAACAACTTACAATAAGAAAAAGCAACAAAATAATCACACATGATTATTTACGATAAATTTCCGCACACATAAAAAAAAAAACTTAAAAATAACGTTCCAAATCCTAACTAAATCATAGACAAAACATTTCGCGCGCACTTACTAAAAAGAAATTAAAAAATAAACAATATGAAATTGTTAATTGAAAAGTAACACAGAGTAGCAAAGTACACATCATTTCTGTGTGAAATATTAAATATTGTACATGTAATTCATTGATTTAACTATCCCTTATCTAATCTTTTGATTATGAATATATTATAACCGGTGAAGGTCGATTTTGACCGATTAATATACCTTGCTGAATGTAAATAAAATAAATACTACATTTTTTTTGTAATTAGATGTAAATGAAATGGTAATCCCGCCATGCTATCAATATATATACTACTCCTCTCCATCCAAAGGTTGCCTGGAAGAGATCACTTTTAGCAACAACGCTGTCCATTATATTCTCAGTGTGAATATTTCTTGTAATTGTTTGTATCTACAAGTTTACTATTGTAATCTAATCTTTTGTAGGAATCACTAAAGAGTGTATATCTATTTATATGGCGGGGCACCAGTAAGGGATGATAAATCCATGCTATTATGATTTATACATGTATTCATCATCAACCATTTTTTTTAACTATGGCAGTTTCCAGTGGGACCGTGGGGAGATTGACCTTGTTGTATATCAATAATTCAATGTGTCAGAGTTTTTCTAGAACCATCCTCACTGTTATAACTTTTTATGGAAAAAGCTATTATTATGTAGGGTACTAACACATATCCTATTATGATTTATACATGTATTCATCATCAACCAAAAAAAAAAAACATGATTAATTTGTGTTATTCCTTATTTGATATATAATAGACCTGATAGGGAATACTGTCCAATCAAACAAACAATCCCTTTCCCTCCCAATAAATACTACCACCACTAATATATGAGTGACGCCCTCTAGTATCGAAAGTTTTTAGGCCGCCTTCTTAGATGAAGTCTTCTCGAGCAGTTTTAAAGAGCCTTACTAATATTATAAATGTGAAAGTTTGTTTGTTTGTTACCTTATAATGGCTTAAAAGCTTAATGAATCATTGAGAAATTTACTCTAGAAAGATCAATAAATAATTAATTTAAATTATGATTATTCATATTTCCATTTTACATATAATTTAAAATTATATTCCACAAAAACAAATCGATTTCACTTATGGCAAAATCAGTTATTTTAATTTCTATGGGACCAATTTGTAAGTATATCCTTTCAGATAAAAAGAATTTTTCAAATTGATTTACAATTGACATATGAAGTAACAAATGTAAAAACAAAACTGAATTCAGAAGAAAACCTTTTACCCAACTGACCTTATAAAGAAAGAAGTTCTCAAATCAGTTGTATTTTTTAATGTTTTTTATTTTATAACTTCGTCACTTGTAAAGCAAATTGCAAAATTATTTATCTGAAAGTATACTTAAAGATGGTCCCCATAAACATTTTATCAAAATCGGTTCAGTAGTTTTATTTTTCAAAATTAAAAAAAAAAAAAGAAAGCTTTAACACAACTGAAATTGATTTCTTTATGGAACACAATCGTCAATTATATTTGATGTTGATTGAAAAAAAAATATATATATAAAAATGACATTACAAAATAAATATAGATTGTTAATGTGCAAATAATATATATATGCAAAAAAGACAAACAAACAATGCATTTTATGGAACCATTGTGAATACAACAGTAATAGTCAATTGACTCACACCATGCCCATTCACATTTGTTGTGCATGACTTGAATGTCAATGAATTACACTTTTATGTCAAGTGTCTATAGTTTGAAACTGGAGCTAAGTTAGTAACTAGCTGTATCACATTGCTTCACTGAAATGAGATTTGAATGAAATCAAATTAAATGATGCAGTTGTATTGGAAAATTGAATAGAAAACTTTCCTCAAGAAATAAGCTATAAAATTCATTACAAGCATTTTAATGTCCACCAATCAGGATATGCTTATTAACCGAGATAAAAAATAGTATAGGTCCATTTCTATCCTAAATATTACATACTATAATAAAATAGAATACCATTTTCATTTGCTGGTGGGATGTGGTTAGTATTGCACTAACTTGAGACAGCAAATTCTGGGGGATGAAACTTTATATAATGTAACTTCAATGTAATCCATAGCTAACCTAGTAGTCGCAATACCAAACACCTATATCTGTCTGTAAAGGTGGCCCTGAGAATTTAATATGACAAACCTAACATTTAGACATTCCATATGAGTCTAGCATAGGCATCCAAGTGTACTGAAGCCTCAACAATAATTAGAATTAAAAAAAAATAGGCACACAAAATTTTATAATAATTGTTTGAGCAGTTAAAATACCAAGAGGTAACAAAACCACTTTTACATTTATAATATTAGTAGGGATTTTAAACACAAATTTGAGATTTTAACATTACATAACAGATTGTAAAAATTTTTGATAAAAAAATTTGATAATGTCCAATCCAAATATAAAATATAAAAAAAAAATATTCCAATATATTATTCAATACAATTATTATGTACCACTTGTGTAAACCACATTTTGTTTTTCTACAAAGCAAATATAAAAAGAAACATGTTTAAAAAAATAATTTAAAAAAATTAAATTAATGACACATAAGTATAGATAATTTTAAAGATAAACTTATCTTTTAAAATGTGTAGTAAATAATGTTCATAGCAGTTAATTACATTAGATACGACGACATATAACTTGTTCACTTAATAATCCATGATGTTTAGTTCTCTTATAAGTTAATGTTATATAAGACACATATTAATTCGTATTACTTTCACGAGAAATTATATATATCGTATATAATGTTCTCTTTCACTTTGTTTAAAATTTTAAAAATAAATTAAGCAGACCGTAAGATTATGACTCGTCTGTGATTCAATTAAGTGCCCACATCTTAGAAATTGAATTACTCATCCAAGACATACTATAATTAGAGAGCATTTTATAAATTAAAGAATGAATTTAAAATAGATAACATACGTTATTTTATATTAAATTACGATGTAAATTATGGCAGGTAGAAAGACAATGAAAACTTTTAGAACATTACTTTAAACTGGTCACAGAGTAATAAAAAGGAAACCTTACCAAGTTTACGCAACGCAAGGATTACACAAACACCAATATATTATTAAAATGTACTATTATTTTGTAGGCACAATATAAATATTCCACACAAAATTTATTAAATCACATGAAATCAGAGAAACACATACTCACACAATGAGCAAAATGTCAAACTTAACTTTTTAATTTTTTGACGTAAACTCGAGATGTCTGTGATATTGCGACGCGGCCAGGATGGTCCGTTCCGTTTCACGGTGGAGTTAACAAAGTTGTAAATGAATATTCATTTAACCAATTAACATTTGTTTTTACTATTAGATCGCGCAGAACATCGTAAATATAAGATCACTGACGTGTCCGTATCTGACGATAGATAGGACAACAGTGACCGGACTTCCATCCATAGATGTGCGTGGGCTAAACGAGGCCGCAACATCTATTCGTGTGTATATTCTTTTTGCTTGTGACTTGCATTTTGCAACCTGCATTGTTTGCTGGTTACGGCCTACATTATTGAATACTGTTTGCAATACAGAATAATACAATACTGATGTATTTATACGATTATATTTACATGCAGTAATTTAAATATCCACCTTTATATAATTTGCTACACAACATGGATGTCACAATTAAAAAAAAGAAATAAATATGAATAAAATAAAATAAGAAATAAATAATAGAAGGTCATTTTATATTTAATTCTTTTTGTTTTACCTTAAACTCAATATTTACGTTAGATTTACCATACAAATAAGGAAAATAAGGTTCCATCTAAGTGCTCCTTATACAGCCACGAGAAACGATCTTGACTAATCGTGAACTACCTTTGTCCGTGGACTTTAAGCATGACTAAGGGAAAGTTCTTTTTTTTCTAGAGAATTATTGAATAAAAGAACTAAAAATTATACGTTCTTGAAACTACGCTATCGATCGTTTGGTATTTTAGCTTGATTCTTTCGACTCATAAATTCATAATAGTACATCATAGGTTAAGGATATGACCTGGTTACATAAGTTTCTAATTTCTTCTGTCGACACAATTTCGATTAAGTTTAATTTTATATCATACGAAAATTTCGATTAGGTAAGTATTAGCCCTCTATAGAGAGCACATATTAGAGCTTTCTTTTACTTAAAATCTTTTACTAAAATAAGCAAAAAAAAAAAAGATTCTGATTTCAAATAAATACTTTTTAGCGGTCATCTTACGCGATTACGTCGCTAATTCCGCATAAAATAATACGAAAATGTCAGTGAAAGCCGTATCAAATCCCTTGCGAGATATAGAGGTAAATGGAGAAGCAGACAGACGGGGAAAACGACTTAAGTTCACTTTACTCATGCCTACATTATTACTTAATGACTCAATTATATGCACAATGGTACATATGCGTATGGTAAGTACGTCACAGAAAAATGTATGTCAAGTTTACTTCTGTTGAATAAATTATGCACGTTCTAGTTGTGATGAATGAAGATAATTAATTACTGTTGTTTGGATAAATACCTCATTATTTATGTAGCTTTACTAATAAATATATATATGTATACCTATACCCACACACCATTGATTTATTGTGTTGCCAAACTTAATTGCTGTAATTAAATAAGAGGAAGGAGATTGTTAAGAATGGGGGCTAGTGGTTTCATCGCTAGCAATATACTATCAGGTTTACCTACACGCGGTTCCTTTTGGAAACCAAGGTGAATTTTTCACAATAGACAAATTGGCTTGCTTTTATTCTAACCTATTTGCTTTCATCTCTCAATGGTGTCTCGCTAGCGTATACCGATAGCGCGGGCGGGGTTACCATTTCATTTACACCCATTAAAAAAATGTCCATTTTTACACCTAAAATTAAAAAAAATACCTACTTAATTATTCAAACGATCTATGATAAATATGTAGTAACATTGTTATCCTAACTAAGTATACAGCATAGTCGATGGCGTCATTTTGAATTGTAAAATTCGTCATACGCACTGCGTAATAAATGTAAACTGTGAATTCTTCCCGCGCAATTTTTTTCGCGCGCTTTTTTCTCAGTCGTGTGGATAAGTACGTACAGAGTATGTATAGATTACGTTCGCGCGGTATTTTACGAGGTATTACTCATTGATCTGTATAATTATAGATCAGTAGTAAAGCATTACAGTTTCTATATAAATTATTGTAATTAAATACACGGAAGAAGAATTATAACAAAATATTGTAGTGTATAGTAGTAATAATAAGACCGCTCAGCAATAAGACCGCCTTACTGTACTTATACAACTGTCTCGTTGCATTTATTAATTGTCTTGCTTATTCTATAAATTGTATAATACAAATTAAGTATACTCATTCATTCTTATGAAAAATTTGCAATAAAGTAATAACAATAATTTTAATCTTCTATTGCTCTACAGACGAGCACCCACGTTCGTTTACTAATCACTTTTAGGTAATCCTTATTAATATTATAAATGTGAAAGTGAGTTTGTTTGATACCTTATAGCGGCTTAACGGCTCAACCAATAACTACGACATTCGGTATATACGTACTATATAGGACGGCGAAGGATATATGCTGCTTTTTTTATCCCGGTTATTCCGGTAGTGCAAAATATGTCGAAAACAAAGATTGTATCCCATAAAAAAAGTCGACAAAACGTATTATTTTTTTAAATACTAAACTGTAATTAAACCAATCTGTAAATACAATATATCCTTTCAGATAAAAAAATATTTACATACATGAATAAAGTCTAAAAAACATTACGCTCCTTTTTTAGGCAGTTGTGTATAAAAAAAAAATATGCTATTATTAAATGGCTTTTAAATAAAATGCAATATGTGAACTCATTAGATAATTATGTAAGTTCTAAATCCACAACACGAACCAGTCGTAGTCAATTACCCGATATTTTCCATGCATCTGGATATTTTCTCTCAACATCTCGATTCGTAATGTGTTGATGGCTGCATTGATTTTGATGTTCCATTTTTCTCGGCCCTCGTCGTTCTTGAAATGCTTCGATAGCCGAAAATTACCCAAACTGTATATCATCTTCATTAACGGACTTCAAAAAGAAGGTTCGTAAATCGTTTTTTTTTTATGTTTGTTACCTCATACCTCAATTTTAAACGGATTTAATTTTTTTTTTATCTGAAAGGATATCCACTATACATACAGTGTTGCAAACTCCTTAGTTCTTTTATAGATTTTATTTTTATTATATTTTTTTTTTTATACTTTTTTGTATTTACAATTGTCACTTTGCTTTTTCACTGTCCTAGTCTGTCTTTCATAGTTTTCTTTATTATAGTTATTTTCCTATAAACCCATTGTTTACTTACATCAAATCCATTAACATACAGTCCATAATATCGCCCACATATAGATTGATTCTATAGAAATTTTATCAAAATCAGTTCAGTAGTTTAGTTTATAGATTAAAATAACTGGTTTGTCACAATTGAAGTCAGTTTTTTTGTGGGACACAATCTCTTTATAATAATCATTACAAAATAAAACATTGTAAAGCCTACAGCACATGTACGCGACGTGTCTATTTATCTTCTATTTACCCTTACATTGTCTATTACATAAGATGAAATGAGATAAAGATAAAAAATATTTGAAAATAGATAAAGGAACTGAAAATTACGAAATATGATTACAGATTACATGATAGTAGCATACAGCCTTAGCTTATATAGATGGAGCGTCGACTCTCAAAAACGGGTCAACTTTTTGTCCGCTAATTTGACAATAAACTGACTCGTTTTTTATCAGTTCCCTATATACTTACGCACACAATTTATCTTGACTTATCTATAATTATTTAATAAATAATATGAGTTTTTACGCATTAGAAGATGCAAAAATTATAAGACAAACATAGAAGTTATAAAGGAATCACTCATAACTATTTATCACGCAAAATTGTATGAAAAAGTTGACACGTTTTTCTCGAAGCATTTGTATGGAGACACTCTATGTATATAAATCTAAGCATACAGCATACAAGCATCACAATCATGACATGTAGGAAATAAAGAAAACACATAAAGAAAAAATACTGAGATATAATTTATTATAATGAATGATTATAATATTATTTAAAATGATAATTTATTTGTATGAGTTTACATCAACGTAGCATTTTTCAATTTTTTTTAATGGGTGAAAATGGAATGGTAAACCCGTCGTTGGCAATCGTGACTGATGTATTGTTAGATTCATCACAGTGGGCTAACTGACCTGCTTCATCCTCTCCTATCATCTCTCAATGGTGCCCCGCCAGTGTATACTGTTAGCACAGGCATGGTTACCATTCCATTATCATCCATTATAAAAAAACTCGCCTGCCAAGCGTGGCAACAATTGGCAAATCCCCCCCTTATGGGGGAGGCTAATATGATGAATTAAAATATAAATTTGACATTACTTATACATATGAATCTTATATTATTTATAAACACCCAAAATAGTTTTGCGAGCTAATATTATACCAACTGTAGAAGGGTAAACTCATACAAATAAATACAAAGACAATAAATAACGGTACTGACCACATTCACATGCTATACAGACATTACAATAGAGCACACAGATGTAATCTTGAAATTACCTGAAAAATCCGTGCTTGCGTCGACGTCCAAAGAGCAACTACCGATCGAATCTACAGATTTATCCATGACTTTCACTGTTAAGTCTTTTGAACAGTCTTTAAGCAGATCCGCCTCCTTAACTTCTATCTCATAAGCCCCTATACTATCCAGATCATTGTCAGTCCTCTCCTCGTGGGACTTCGGGGAAACAGTAGAACTAGGTAACTTTATATCAGTCTCATCTGTATTAATTGTTAGTATCGAATCAGGCTTCAAAGTTAAATCACCTGGAATGTTTTTGTCTAATATCAACGTGCTCTGACTCGTGAAGTTGCTACGAATCGGTTCAATGTATTCGACGTCATCGTCGTCGTTGAATAGTTGATTGGTATGTCCGCTCGGGCCTTGTACGTCGGTGGCGTCTTTGGGGACAGCGTCGATAACAGTACGCGACTTAATTAAACTTTTATAGTAATGACTTTCTAGTTTTTCCAATTGCCTCCTTGTGTCCGATTGCTTTTTGCGTACTGAATCTATAATAACCGGAAGATTTAGGAGGTCTGGCGTTCTCTCACCGTTGCGTGGCGATTTGTCTCGTCTGAATAAGGGAGAGTCATCGCTTTCTAATTCGAAACGCTTATATTTCGATGAGCAATAATCGTCTACAGAGGACGTATCGGACTTTTTGAATCGAATAAACCGTCGAGTGAAAAAAACGATTTTCGTTTTTTCTTTGGTTGGCTGGCCTTGTCAAAATTTGACGTCACAAACGGGTCGCCAGTTTTAAAATTTTGAACGCACAGGTTGCTGGTGTTAACGAGTGATTTCGGACGAGATTCTTTTGGGAGACTCAACGGTACACGATTCGTTTCCACTTTCCGGGAATCTAGACTGAGCGTCTTTCGAAACCTTTCATTTAGGTTAGCCAATAGGAAATGTCGGCGTTCAGTCGATTTTGGAGTGACGTTATACGAACTCTGTTTACTGCTGGAAGGTTGCGAATTTGGAATGTGTTCACGGTATTTGAATTCTATATCGTTTTCTGAAAAGTCTTTGGGTTCCTCTGATCTTCCGTACGGTTCCGAGGGGCACAAAGAAGACTGCCTATTCTCAGGTCTGTGAAAGGAGAAAGAGCCTCTATTCGAAGACCTCTTCTTCCCATCACAGACGCAGTTTCCAACGCAATTCAGTCTGAGACATCTTTTCTCTTCCCTTTCTACTGATATATCGTGATCCTTTGGAATGTAATTGTCCGGTTTGTTCGTATGTTTATGAATTAAGAGATCTTGCCGGATCTTTTCCAATCTTTCATCGCCATGAAGACCTCTCGTATATTTAGACTTTGGTGGTCTAAAAAATCTAATGGATCCAGTTGTATGAGGTTCTATAGATCTCCTTCTCACAAAAGACGGAGAGTCGGTTATCTTGTTAACGCCAAGGAGAAGCACAGGTGACTTTTTGTCCTCTTCATCCGGTAGGTCACTGCAAAGAGAGATATTGTGAGAAATACCATTTAAAAAAATATGTTCAATACGGATGCACTTACATTTATCTTTATAAACTTAAGCCTATTCTAAGCTGAATTGAATTGATTTTCTTAAAACAATTTTGTTCATTGATAAATTTAATCGAAAATGGCTATTTATATTAGCGGGAAAATAATGTTTTGTTAAAGTGTTTATGTGTTACATAAAATGTAGTTGAGAACAATTAATATAACTTTAGAAATAAATACCCATTACAAATATTAAATAGTATCAACTTTTTATATTTTAAATATTATTTAAGAGCATAAGCATTGAAATTAAGAAAAAAACATAAAAAGCGCAATAATGCAATAAAGCGTTATAAACAAAACGGATACTCACACAAACAATTATTTAAACATGTAAATACTTAGTTGTTAATTCAGTTAAGAAAATAAACAAATTGTAAATCTGAAAAACATTATTTTTAGTCGATTTTCTAAGTGGATACGAGACATATTTGATACTACATAAAACCAATATGGCGGCTGGACACTCGAGATATTTGGCGCGAATTTATCGAGTCAATATATGTATAAAGAATAAGAACTTGTAACTATTTCTCTTACTGTACTATTTTAAAACACTTAAAAGATACTTTTACTTATAAGTAATACATTTTTATCTAGTTTCAAATATCGATAACTATAAAAAATTAACAACTGCATGGAAGTAACTAGTTCCCTAAACGTCGCGTGCAACTCACTATAAAAGGGCAAATATGTGGCACAAATGACGATGGAAGGGCGTGCCTGGTACTGGCAACAAACTGTGTAACTTCCTGTACAGTAAACAACACGAAACAAAAAAAATATATTGATACAAAGCGTACCGCATTCACTGTTTTGGAATTTATAAATGTATCACCAATAATGGATGGTAAATCGATAACTTTAGCATAGATAGAGTAGATTATGTTAAGCAAAGCATGTGACGTGTTCATTATCATCACCATCATAATATCAACTGTTAATCACCCACAGTCGAATATAGGCCTCCCATTGGGAAGGTTTTGCTAGTAATTTCCACGCTTGGTGGCGTATTTTTTTAATGGATGATGATGGAATGGTAACCCCGCCTGCGCTATTGGTATACGCTGGAGGGATACCAGTAAGTGATGATAGGTGAGGATGAAGCAGGTCAGTTAGCCCATCGTGATGAATTCAACAAGAATTGTTCACGATGGTTTCCAAGGGGAACCACGTGGAGGTCGACCTGAGCAATAGCAATGGGGCTATCAAACGCCATTGCTAACAATCCCTTTCCCCCTGGTGGCGTATTAAGAGGGATACTGCTGTTTATCCCTCCACTATTACGATTTTTTAATTGTCTCTTACGACACCAACGGGAAAGGAAGAGGCGGCCCATTGTATGCCGAAACTATAGAGCAAATATAACGCGTTCACAAAAAACTACCAATTCCGTTGCTAGCAATATACCCTCTGTCAGATCGACCAACACGTGGTCCCCCTAGAAGTCAATAACATAAAAAATGACACTGGCACCCCGGGAGTGACGATAGAGGTGAAAACTTCAATAATTACGTGTGTATTTTTTGAATCGTCAGAAGTAGCGATTACAGTAACGGTAACAGTGCTGCGAGTTCAATGGCTTATTCCCATCTCAAAAAAATGCCCAACGCACCTAATGAACATGAAGAACGTTTTGTAAATTAAACACTTATAAACTTAAATTTTATTTCAATAAGACTTATTTACAAAAAGGACCACGGGCATCTGAATTGACGACCGCTGCTTCAAAAAGCATTTGGTTAGTTACCTTGGTCCTATATTAAAAAAATAAAGGAGTTATTCACCTTTTGCGCAAAGTATTTAAAGAACTATGCCATCATTCGCCATTTAGGAGTTTAAGAAAAAAAAAAAGGCAACTGTTTATAATAACAAAATAATGTCGAGGCAGAACGTGGGCGTACATAAATTATAGTCTATTTCGACAGAACTTAACGAAAATGTAAACAAATGAATTAGCCGTGTGGTCCCGGCATAGAATAGGCCACCCCTTCTTTCCTGTGGGTGTCACAAAAACTGACTAAGGGAGGGCGAGGGATGGACAGCAGCGTCCCTCCTAAAATATCTCTAAGGCCTAACTGCGGTTGCCAACCCGCCTGCCAAGTGTGGCAGCTACTGGCAAGCACCAGAGAGAGACTTTGTACAAAAGTTGATTGCTTGGGTACCTCTGTCCCATTTGTGTTTCAACCGTGAAGCAGCTGTGTTTGCATGGCTGTGTTTCGGTTTGAAGGGTGGGATATGGCGTGAATTTACTGGGTACAGAGGATTAACATCTGAGTCCTCAGGAATGGCAACGCATGGGGGGTATCATGGGCGAAACAGTATACTCTGTTATGTCCATGGTACTGCTCATGCCTATAGGCGACGGTTACCACTGTCCATCAGGTGGGCCGTCAGCTTGTTTGCCATTCTAAGTTGTATATAAAAAAAAAAACTCCTCAAGGGGGAAGGCTTATGTTCAACAGTGGACAGTTAAAGGCTGATATGATGAAACAAATGAATAATCGACTCGACCATAAGATAGTCCACTGATTTTCAATAGTAGTACAAATAAAAAATCGATAAATCGATTTAATGATTCCATTAGTTACTTATTTAATTTAGAGCGTACATAGAATAGAATAGAATAGAACAGAACAGAACAGAACAGAACAGAACACAACAGAACAGAACAAAATAGAATAGAATAGAATAGAATAGAATAGAATAGAATAGAATAGAATAGAATAGAATAGAATAGAATAGAATAGAATAGAATAGAATAGAATAGAATAGAATAGAATAGAATAGAATAGAATAGAATAGAATAGAATAGAACAGAACAGAATAGAATATAAATTTATTGTTTGACAAAAAACAAAGTTACAAATACAAGGTACAATGGGCCCCACACTAGACGAAACTGTATCGTGGACACCTGACAAAGATTGACAAATCACAATGTGTTATAACAAAAAGTACAAAGTGGGCGGGTATTAATATAAAAAAGGCATATAAAATTAAAATATTGATCATTGCTGATCAGTCTGTGATAATTTCAATAACCGTTCGGCATCCAAACTGCGAATTGACAGCTTATATATATATATATATATATATATATATATATATATATATATATATATATATATATATATATATATATATATATATATATATATATATATATATATCAATTAGAATGGCAAACAAGCTGACGGCTCACCTGATGGAAAGTGGTAACCGTCGCCTATAGGCATGAGCAATACCATGGACATAACACAGTATACTGTTTCACCCATGATACCCCCCATGCGTTGCCATTCCTGACTACTCAGGTGTTATTCCTCTGTACCCTGTAAATTCACTGACATATCCCAACTTTCAAACCGAAACACAGCCATGCAAACACAACTGTTTCACGGTTGAAACACGAATGGAACAGAGGTATCCAAGCAAACGACTTCGGAATCGTTAGAGGCGACCAAGGAAAGGCAAAGGATAGACAGCAGCATTTCTTTTAAAACATCTCTAAAAGCCTATCTGCGGTTGCCTATCCAGATACCAAGCGAGGCAAGTACTGGCAAAACCCTCCAAGGCTTATATTCATCAGAAGACAGTGCAACGGCTGAAATGATGATGATGATGATGATGATGGATATGGACTTCCGTAAGATAACACATAGTTCAGTAAAATATTCGTAAGTATTAATTTACAACCGTTTAATCAGGTTGTAATCAGACTTTTGCTTTACATTTTTGTGAAAGTTACGTCAAAAATTTCTCATGCATTTAAATAATCAATTCGTAACTTTACCGCGCTAGTAAAATGCTGATAACATTCGAAACACAAGTATTTTTGGAGGTCGACCTGGTTGGGTGTATTGCTAGCAATGGGATTCTCAGTCTCTATTACTAACAATCCCTTTCCCCCTGGCAGACAGATTGTGCCCAGTTGTTAGAAAACAATTGGTTGTTTTAGGGTTATGTATGGTGGATGACGGACATCACATGACCTTTTAATCATGTTATCAAGCGAAAAAGAAATTTCGATCCAATTTTAATGCTTCAACTTGTTATGGAAAACCAAAATTTCACATCAGATAACTGGTCACTTTTAACCAATTAAAATTCGAATACCGTGAGAAATGGTTTTATTAATTAGTAAATCTTGTATTTATAAAGTTCTAAAATGACTACTTCAATAGATCAGATAAGAGTTTAAGTAGATGCCAGAACAGCACAAACTTTGCGTATCGAATTTCGACCATAAATTAGATGCAATAGAGTTTGATTACAGCTAAAATCCAGATTTGGAGTTCGTGCAAAAAAATATGAAAGTGACATAAAATACTACACATATTTTTAGAAGTCGTGAAGTGAGAATGGGAGATTGTATAAATTAATATAATATAGAAGAAAGATTTGATATTTTGGTTGGTAATGAATAAAATCAATAAATACTTAATCGATTTAAAAAATTCTTTCATTTAAAGAAAGGTACATTATCAGAATATACCATGGGTTGCGTATTATTAACATCAATAAATTGTTTTAGCAACATCAGAACAAAAAGTAGCCTATGTCTTTTTCCATCAGTAGTTGTAACCGCAATTAGGCTTTAGAGATGTTTTAAGAGAGACGCTGCTGCTCATCCCTCGCTCTCTCTTAGTTGCCTTTTACGACGAAAGGAGAAAAGAAGGGAATAGAAAGAAAGGGGTGGCCTATTCTATACCGGGACCACATGGTAATATACACGAAGTGGATATTTGCTTGCTATCTATTACATTACCAGTCGAAAAATTCTTTTTGTATTTAATTGTTCATTTCTTGAGATAGATAGATTCAATATCATGATACAACCACGAACGAAGCTACAGAACCCAGCTAGTTGCAAATGTTCTTAATATGAATCACCAAAAGTGACCATTTTACACCTCCAAGTATA